ATTTCAAGATTCCGATATTTAATGAAATTGTTGATTACATATGTGTGCAATAGTATACAAATTAATTATTATTTTAAAGATATTATAAATATAAATTTTTTCAACTGTCAATTTAAAATATAAATCAGAAAGTTACAATCTTTTATAAACAAATTTAAAGAGATTATTAACGAAAAATCGAAAAATAATCATCTGTAAGTTATTAACAAAAATTCGTAGTCTTTTCTTTAAAATTTTGCAACTCTATTGGAAATACATATACGATTTGATAATGCATTATCATTATTGAAATATCGATCATGTATACTACCATTACATTACAAATACGTTCAACGATGGAAAATAATTTATTTAACGAACGGAATTACTTGATTCTGAAATTAATGAACAGCGAATTATAAATGTAAATAGTCTGTCATGTAAATTTTGCGTAAGCTTCTCTCGTGTAAAAATGTCGGCGGATAAATTTATGGCGATTTTTTTACTATGCAGGAAGAATGTTAAATGTATACTAAATATAAATAAGCGTATTACATTATCTCTATAGATACACGTTTAAGATACATTAAGACATTAAGATATACCTATTAAGATATTTCATATTGAATGAATTTTATAATAATGACAACATAAAGAAGAAATTTTATTTGCAATTTTTATTGATATGATAAATTAACATAAGTAATTAAATAAAAGTTGTCACTTATATAAAAGAATATTCTTTTTTTAATAAAAAAGTAAATGATTTATTTTCTTTTATTTTTAATCGATTTACTTGAATCGTCTTACTTTTAATTTATTCCCATTTATTAAGAAACTGCTCTCTTTCACGCGCGCGATTATTATCTTTAATATTGAAAATTTATAAAGAGATGCAGATTTTATGGAAAAAAATGGAAAAAAAAGTTTTGCTATCATATGTTTCTGTGAAAACACTGGACTGTATCGTCTAAAATTTGATCAAAACTGTAACTTGTGCACTACCGCCCATGCATCTCGAAATGCGCCCACGATCTCGAGCAGCCGGATTACTAGGAGAGTCGATGTCGATTTTATGAAACCAACAACGTCCGTATCCACCCTCATCCTGATCCCAGGTGTTTCCTGGGAACAGCTGCCACGGCGCACGCGCCCCGAGAAAGCAGTGATTGATCAATTTTTAAAAAGCAATGTTCCTAATTGACCCGCCGCGCCGGTTCGCTCCTCGCCGGAGCGCTTATATCTTACGAAAAGGCGTCAGTCAGGGCATCTTAGTCATCGAAAGGTGTGTTCAACTACGATTCATGCCAGTTGTTCCTTTTCGAATACCCCTTTCGGCTTTGTTCGCTAACAATGAAGCACCGATATCGTCTATCATTCATCGACGGAAATATCGTTCATTAGCACATTAACGAGAAATATAGGTATTTTAAATACATATTTAAATATATATTCTGAATATATAGCTGAAATATATTTTCTATGGAATGTATAAAATGTTTAATTGTACAATACGCTTGTGAAATGCTATCGTAATCAAAACTTTGATAAATTCTTTTGTAAAATTCTTCGTACGCGTATTATACTAGCACCATAAAAATGAGCGCGATGGAAATAATACTAGAGAAATTAATACTAAAGATATAGTCATATAGAGCAATTGCATTTCTATCAGCGCTAAATTTGAAGTTTGATTAATGACATTATGAAGTGAATTCAACATATCTTCATACTGTTTCAATCACATTGATTAAGAGTTTTAGTACATAAAGCTCTCGGGCAGGAACCTGTCGATTCCGATCGATCGGTTCCAAAAGGAAATTGTCATGCATTTCGGAACATGTATGTTAAATTGATTGCAATTATGAAGATTCCATGTATTTTTGACTATCACGACTTTTTGTCATTGTAAGTATTAATTGTATATAGTATTATATCTACTGGCCATTATTCGAAATTATATTTCTTATTTTCCATGTTTTTATGCATGTTTAAAATTTAATTTAATTTTAATCTATCTGCAGGACTGCTGTAGCATTAATTAGACATGTACAGCTTATTGTAAACGCAAGTTTAAACTTCTATGTACTTCTGGATACACCCGACACACTATGATACTCCCGATTGTTCTTCGACATGAATCTTGGATTCCGACACGAATGAAGAACTCATCGATTGCTCGGCTTTTCGGTATCGGACACGCGCGTCGAAAGCACTCGTTCGCGCGTTGTTATTTCGTAACAGAACCCATTAGCATCCGCCTGCGTTAATTAACGGAAGTTCTGCCATACGTGTATAGGCTCGATGCACCTGCGTGCGGGATAGAGGGTGTATGTGATAATGCGCGATTTGCGCGTAGGCAGTCTGCTTTTTCCCTCCTCTGGATTGTGGATCGGCGTGTAACGGCGGATTATCCACGGGCATTTAGTCGCGGTTACATCGTAATTCTACCGTGAAATCGACGTGTCAAGAGACGATTCGTCGACGGCGCGAAGACATCGTGACCCCGGAAAAGGGCGGAAAAGCCTACCTTCACCGCACGCGTCATGGCTGCTTTAAAATAAAATAAAATAGGCATATCGACGAGAAGAAACTTCATATTTTGTGAAAATTAGAAAATTCTCAAGACATCTAAAAATACATCGATATATGTCTAAAAGCTGGATACATTTTTTAATTATTTAATGTCGTTAATATTTGTATTATCTTAAAAGATGCTGTGCTTAATGCAAGTTGATTAAAAAGGGAAGTTTGTATTTAATGCAGAGATTTATAATATTTTAATTGAGATATTTTGAATAAATTATAAATTATAAATATATTTTATTTGACGCAAACACATGTATTTTTATTCATACATTTAATCACTTATTTAATTAATTTATTTAGTAACAAATATAAAGACATTTTATACAACTATGAATAGAAGAAGGATTTAATAGAAGATAAACTGAAATATTTTTATTGTAAAAAACATTCTAAAATGTGTAAAAAAAATTGAAAACTATACTGCTAATATACAATAGTAATTAGCAGACGTATAAGTTATGAATTTTAGCTAGCCTATAAGTGATAATATTGAATGATTAACGACAGTAAAAATTTGGTAAAATGATAATTTGAGTACATATGATCAAGCGATCTATTAACATATCAGATAAATACGTGAGATCATATCGAACAATTTTGCAAACACACGAAAACTGAAATTATCTTAGATATTCAACAATTTTGCGAATTTTTATTGAACCATCATATTCGCATCTGAAGTTACACGCGATATCGGCGAAGAGAAATGCGCATTTACATGTTTGAAATCGTAGATATATCCGCTTTTATAAGGATGTAGTGAATTTTATGGAGATGGAGGAGAATAGTATTTGATTCTACGCCACTGACTGATATATAGACGCTGATTCGGTCCCAATGCACTTAACACCACCCAGCTCTAATGCCATTCTCTCGTCACGAGCGTCCATCCTTGAGAGTCAAGAGACCCGCCAGCTGTTACGAGCCTCCGACAAATATCACGGGACGATAAACGTTAATTTAGCCAAAAATGACATCATTGTCCGTATTCAATTAAAAATTAAAGAAGATTATCCTAAGAAAGATAAGTCAGTATATATAAGAAAGAGTTAAAAATAAAGATGAGAACAGATTTCACATCGAGTTACTTAAAATCGCCATAATCACTAAATGTATTAGCTTATTATATGTATATGATGCCATAGAATTGAGAGTTTTATCTTATACACGTGTATAATCGAAATCCGATAAAAATTAAAAAATAATAGTTATCGCTTCACTGATGACAAGCGTCAACAGCCGTGAAGCTACATATGACACATGTAAAATTAACGAATCTTGTTAAAACTGTTAAGTTTTCCAGCGACAACAGGTGACGAATTCAAGATATCGACATTCGTTTCCTGTTATCGTATCATCCGATTCCAAAATCTTGTGCCAGATATTAAAGAACCGTCGAGCGCGTAAGAATGCAACGATCGCTTCGTTGCAATACCTGAGGTGTATACTGGAGCGTGTAAATCCCATATATCCAATTAGATTCGTATAATCCTCGTATGTTAGCGTAGGGTGTTCCTACCCCTTGAACCGCCACCCCTCTCGGTCTCCGCCGTCCTGCTCTTCTCCGTGTGTGTGTGAGTGTGTGTGTGTATGTGTGTGTGTGTGTCTTGTGTGTGTATGGTCATATGTATGGTGCGTACGGTGGCGCAAGCGCGCATCCCGCGCTTTAATGCTAAAGTACTAATTTATGGGCACATATGAGATGGCTACAGTGCTCGCTACCGTGCCAGAAAAGGGACTATAGTCTGCGGCGAAGGATAGAAGCGAGAGAGACAGAGAGAGCCAGGTAGAGTAGTGGTAGTGTTGGTGGTGCGTTGGTGGTGGTGGTGGTGGTGGCGAGATAGGGCGAGGGTAGGTATATCGGAGAACACAGAGGCGGGCTTTGCATGCGATATCAATAAATCAAGTCCCGGGACCCCGGCAGCTTAGGGGGCCACTACGTGGCCAGAATCAACAGCTCATAACGTCGGCTAATAGCTACCCGCGGTGGGGTCGAAGATATTGTCGTAACACCGAGGGACATCTTACCGTCGCAATGGTTGGATTTGGTTGCGTCCTATTGAGAAAAGAAATGATATCGCGGGGGAGAGGGCGGGGAAAGAAGATCGGATATGCGATTTTTGATTTAGAAACAAAAATGTCTGGTGAAAAGGATAATAGTTGACTCAACGACTTTCTTTCTTGCTGCTCATTGATGAACGAGTCATATTAATTTTTAATTAGTATTAATTTAGTAAAAACAGTAAAAGATAAAGAGTAACACTATCAGTGGAAATGTAAAAGTCACGTTAGATCACACGTTATGTATAAATAAACGTAACAAAAGAATAAAAAATCTGTTTTTTAATATTATATATTTTTTTAAGATTTTAAGAATTTTTGAACTTTTTATCAGACTACCAGTAACAGACTCCTTGTTCACCTGCCTGTAGGTATGGTTTCAAAACCGACGAGCGAAGTGGAAGAAGCGCAAGAAGACAACCAACGTGTTTCGGTCCTCGGGATCGCTGCTACCGTCGCACGGCTTACCTCCCTTCGGACCGATGACCTCCGACTTGTGCAGCGGAATGTTTCATACTCCTGCGGACAGATGGGGAATGGGAACAGGTCAGATATCAATAGCTTTTATCACTAACCGTAACCAAGAAACGCAAGATAAAAAAAAAAAAGAAAGAAATTATCCATATGCTTACGTTGGCCAAGACAGGAAACGCTTTTTCGATCGCTTGTATTATTACTCGCAAGGACTCGATATTTGTCATCGGCCATGTTTAAAAATGAATATTATACCAGAATTTCCTGATATCCTTTAAAAAAACTGTCTCCTCTGACAGTTATTTCCGTAGCAGCTATCAATTTAATATGTCACATTGGATCACTGATAAAGTATCGATGGTATTCCATAATGCACACATTTATATATAATGTCAATACATACTGTGACTTGTGTAAATATATAAATTATTTAACTGTGTTAGTTAAATATATAAATAAAATTTATATATATAAATATATAATTATATAAAAAAAAATTATATATTTACACACAATCGCTTATTTTTCGTAGTATTATTCATTTTTTAATTCTTTTTTGCTTTTTTTATAAATATGAAATTACTAGTTATAAAGAATGCATTACATAAGATCAGTTACATATCAGATCATTACATAAGACAGTTGTAGAGAAAAAAATATAATATTTAGAGAGTGTGCTTACACCGAGCATTTTTCTCATTTCTTTATAAATTTTCTAATTAGACATCTCAAATTGATCCGCTGTCTTATGAAATAATTACGCAATCTATTTTGATAATATAGAGAACTGAGAAGAGAAAGAGATTTAATAAAATCGATACTTTCATTTTTGCAATAATCTCTTTCATTTTTATAAATCAAATAGTTTTTATAAATCAGTAATTCGAGAGACAATGAATATTTAAACATTATATAAATAAATAATTATGTTCAAGTGGCAAGAAATCTTACATTTTTACGCCAGTGATCAATGAAACCACTGATTTTGAATATTTCTTAAAATGTTAACGACGTATCTGAAATTATTATTATTATTTTTATATAATCTAGTTTGTGCAATATTTTAACACATAATCTGAATTTATAGATGTTTAATCTACTTGATTTACACAAATATATTTTTATTCCATGTACACACACGCGTCTTACAAAATTAATTTCATTTCTAAAAGATGAAATAGCACCGGGACACCGGGATCGAAACGCAAGTGTAAACGAGAATGAAGAAAGTTGTATAGTCTCAAAGACGTAGGCACTTTTGTCTGCGATTTAATTGAAGCGTATTATCCGCGTCTGTGCAAATTGCACACAATTCGTCATGTCATTTAATGCGCGATATGATTAGCATCTCGTTCACGCGCTAACGGGAGAAGAAGCAACATGAGAAGGAAACACCAATTCTCGTAGACGAAGTCGCGACGATGCTCGCCTCCTAATTTAATTTCGCCCGTCCACTGGTTGAGACAGCTGAAATTACTTACTGCGTATTATTGGTCCCACGGTTGTTCACCGACGGTTGTACCGACAATGACACCGATAATTAACCGATCTTTCCCGTTTCTTTACAAACCTCCCGCCTCCCCATGTCGCTGTAACACGTAACCTTGCATTAATTACCCCTCGCGTATTTAACTGTGCTCATCTGCCCCGTAGGTCTTGGACAATTGCAAAGCGGCATGACGATGAGTGGTTTTGGGCAACTCGGTCAACAAAGCACGGGAAGTTTAGGTTCCAGTCTTAGTCTCGGCAACTCCGGACTCCCGATCAACAGCCCGTCGCAATCTGTCTACCATACCAACTACGGACTCAATTCTATCAGTAAGTTGCTACGAGCACCAACGAGAAACGCAGGAGTTTATTATATTAGTAGATATTCAACGAACAAAATATGATTTGACAAAATATTACTTACCTCTATCGTAATTAAGTAAAAATAATTGACACTGCAGTTTAGAATTGAGACAATATATTTTACTAGACTTGCTGTCCTTATTATTAGTATTAATTTGTTCATCTCCATGGTATCAGACGCCGTTTTATGGTCCTGTAAAAAATAAGTTTCAGAATATACACACAGAGAGATTGTAAAAAGCGTTTTACGATTATATTTTTGCTACTCCAGACTATACGACTTAAGCGAACGTAACGTTTTTTTCATCGTTGCTTATTTAAGTAGCGTGGATCGTTGTTGAGTTGGCGACATGTGCGAACGCGAATAGACACACCCAGAAGAATCTTAACGTTCGCGTCAACCCGGCCGCTTATACATGTGCCGATAATCGTCTTGCCAAACTTTTGGAACCGTGGTCCTCTAAAAGACAACGTGCAAACAGCGCCATGGAAGTCTCTTTGACGAAGTCGTTAAACGTTACGGTGCATTAAGGTTCGAAGGGGTTATGCGCCTGCACGTAAGGAATTTGAGACAGAAACATAAACCCCGTCCTCCCGTCTATTTACGCAGGCAAACTCCAAGCCCGATCTCGCACCTAGGTGCGAGATCTTTCGCTGTATGTTTACCATAACATCTCGATGCAACCTGTCTTGGTTGAGTTACGCTTTACCTCACCCGGGGACCTTGTATCCTCAAAGATATTATGCTCAAGGGGATAAATCGCGTGTGAAATTTCTTCTTTCACGGAGATTGCCATCCAGCGCACCTCGACTGTAACTTCCATACCAAGACTTCATTCAAAACGCGCATGCCGTTTGTGAAATAACATGATACTTTAATAATCTACGTGCTCCTCAGTACCTAGAACTCTTCAATAATCTAGAACAAATTAACGTTCAAAAACTCGAGGACGGTAGCTGTTATCGTTATACTTTTGCGACGTAATCCTATTAAATGCAAAACGAGATGTTTGTAAAGTATTATTTATTGTACGTGGAAACTCAGAATTCTACGTAGGATTAAAGACAGAATGTCTACGTATAGGATTAAAGCGCAAATCAGACCTTCGAGTGATAATCTGATCATCTTTCTTAGATAAATCGGTTTTTAGCGCTCATGACCCGTAAGAAATAATAGATTCGTAAGATACGAGCAATAAGAAAGCCGATAAAGGAATCTCGTCCTCTTGTCCCACAGAATATTTTTTTACCTTTTTACTTTTTTCATTTTTCAGTAGTTAGTGAACCGCATTTAAAGAAAGACGTTATAAGTAGACGCTATTTTTTATACGAAATACATATTGGCAACACGCTTAAATAGATTATTTATTCGTGTTGGTATTTGCTACTAATACCGATACAGGTCATCAACCCTGGTAAAGGTAGATCTATTGACGCGATTATACGAATTCTATTTATAGGCTTATCAAAATCTTTCAACAGATACGAGGTCATTCATGCGCGAAGGAAAAGATGAAATATGAAATTGATATCAAATATCCAAAATTATTAGCAATAATTATGTTACCGCGAACTGAAATTTCTCTCTTAAAATCGTAACGGATGTACTAATTACTGATTATAATACATTTGACACGGAGGATCGCAAAGTCTAACGCCACAACGGACTTTCCCGAAGCTTTACGGTAAAAATCCGGCGTAGCACAATTTCGCAAGCTGACTGTGCAGTCATACATTTGTATATGTGCGTTGCACGTGCGCGTAACGCTTATACGGTGCCAATTACCGGGCGTTATCGCCCGGTAGCGTCACTTGGGAGGAGAAAAAATCGGCGTTCCATCCGAGTGCGAGTGTTGTGCGCCGATGTGTGCGTGCGAACGCGGCCTTAAAGTGAACCCGTCCAGCCTCGGCTCGTAGCCGGCTATATATGCTTTTATCCGCGGATAATACTTAGAGCAAATAGCTTTTAGACTAGAGCGTTATTTTTCGGTTACCAATGATGATTAGCACCGCAATGTAACCCAACGGCGCGGCGCGGCGCGGCGTGGCGCGGTTCCTAGTCGATCGGGGGAAGTTCCATTTGGCGTCTCTCTCTCTCGCGGTGACCGCGCCAGACTGGCGCAAACAAGCCTCTGTAATGCGTAAATTATCGCATTTCGAAACGTTCCGATTTTCAGCTTGCGCTACCGCAAGCGGTGCGCAACGCGCAAGTCGCGTTACCTTATTCGAAAACAAAAATCGGCGTGACTCGCGTAAAAAGTCGAATCTCAGAGATACACGCCGATGATCTCCGTATTCATTCTCGAACGTAAAAATACACGTGTCAAATTAGGTTTAGCTTCATTTACCTTTTCAGCTTCGGTCGTTGATTTCGTGTATCCACAGAATCGGACTTCATTGATCGTGCGCGATGAATCGCTTGGTGGATATATACGCTCTACGGCAGCACGAATCACCGTTTCAACCGACAATAGTCATAAAATTACGTACATCGTCGCCATTAGACGTCCATTCTTTCGAATGGCTTTTCAAAAGCGGCCGCTGCCATAGTCCTCTGCAAATTTGTGCTCGGCGCAACACACCGCCATAAAAAAAGCCCCTTTTTCCCGCGTTGTCTTCCGAGCCCACCAGCGTGGCGCGCGCGAGGAGGCGGAAACGACTTTACGACGGCACCGGTAGCGCGCACCCCACGCGCTTTTGTCAGCCTACCGTATTAATATCTTCTGCTGGAGAAACGAAACGTTCGCTCCTGCACCTGTGATGCCGCACCTGTGAATTGCCTCTCTTCTACCTGAGTCGTCTTAGAGATGCACTGCCTTATCCGCGGTAGTAGACTCGTGGTTGACTATACATTTATCCTTTGTTTAATATTTACTATATTTATCAAAAAAATATTTAGCGCTCAGCGTTCATTGCAAACTGTCAAGAAACCGAATACTTACGAAGTCACAAAGGATAATTTGAACGTTTGATAGCTGAGAGTTTCGAATGATTGTTTAAGAAGGTAGACAACCTTGACGAGCGAAAAAATAAAGTTTGTTTTAAGTTAAATATTTAAAAATAAAAAGCTCCTAGTATTTAAAACTTTGGCACATGATTCTATATTTTTTGTGGTTATTTAAAAAATAGAATTGTTAAAAAATATTAATAATAATAGGAATTATTGGTAATGAAAGGAAGCAGTTCAGTAATTGGTGATGGACATAAAATCTCGAAAACGGCTCAAACAATTTTTTTCGAAAATGTTTTACATGTTGTTAAAAACAATATTTAAAATGTGTCGGAAGCAGAAATTCGAAAAAAATTCTTAAAAAAAAGATAAATAATATTTTAGTTGCAAAAGAAGAGCAAAATTACATTTTCTTCAATAATAATTAAATTTTTTTTAATTTTGGTTTCAACACATTTTAGAGACACCTTTCTAGATTGTAAATCCGTTTTTTTATTCTGTTTTAAATTTTTTATTATCAGGAATTATGTTCACCACCAACTCCCGAACGGAAAAAACTACACCTTTCATTACCAATAACTCCCGTTATTATTAATATTTTTTAATAATTTTTTTTTAAATAACTATAAATAATATAGAATTATGTGCTAAAATTTCAAATACTCAGAGTTTTTTATTTGTTGAATATTTAACTCTAAAAAAAGGTCGATTTTTTCGCTTGTCAAGATTATCTACCCCTTTAAGTTGCTTGTTTGTGAATCCGCATCGATATAAATAATGCTCCACGAATAGAAACACTCATCCGATTATTTTCTATTTAGCAGGTGGTGTCCACGTGTCGGCGTCCCGAGGTTCGCCACCGGGCGGCTCCTCTGTGGGTGGCGGCCAGGGCGGTGGGATGGGCTCCGGCCTGAACTGCGGTCAGGGATCTCCAGGCACGACTTCCGGTACCGGTAGCGGCAGCGGCGGTGGCGGCGGAGGTGGTGTTTCCTGCGTCGGTGCCGACGTGACCACGAACGAGGGATCGGACTGGAGAGGCGCCCACAGCATCGCGGCGCTCAGGCGTCGCGCCTCGGACGCCTCGCAACAGTACAGTCCACAGCCACCGCCGCCAGGACCACCTCAGTATACCCACGACATGGAGTACAGTCCCGTTTATCAAGGTGTCGTCTGAACCGGCTTTTCGACGTTCGGTTCCACGGAGGAAAAACTGCCGGCCGGTAGAAGCTTACCATAATCCATGGAACGAGTACTCCTCTCTGTTCTGTCAATGGCAACCGTAAGATAGACTGCGTTTCCGCGACTGATTCTACGGAAGAGCGAGCGCAGAGGAAGCGCGATCAAAGATATTTATCTAATTGGCTATCGTAAATTTTACGTCAAGATAGTGCAGCGAGGTCAAGATCGACGATATTAGAACGATTATTCTAAATTCGATGAAGGTCCAAAATTGTTCATCCTCTTGAATTTAATATAAAGCCAATAAAGCGTAGCAAATAACGACGAAATTAGAATGCTTAGATAATTTCGGATTGACTGAAAGAAATTTAACAGGGCGATAATGATTTGTAATGACAATTATTTAACGCGGACTGTATTCTTATTATCTTTTTACGTAAACTTTTCTGTACCAGACGTTAGTTACCAGAATTGTACGGAGAATTTACGAAAGGAGTACTCTTCTATAAATTAGCGCGGAGGTCAAATCAGGGTAGAGGATCGAAATTGCTGGCATTATCGACAGTGACAATTTGCGCAATATAGATTCTCATCATCATAGCCTTCCCAGGACCATCGTGACCCATGTATAATGTAAACTGCAATTTCTGCAAGTGTGTCCTGTTGATACTAATACCGGGCCAACCATCGACTTGATGCCATAAATGTAAAGAAAATTGATGTATATGACGGAGTTGTCGTAGCAATTAAAATTGCACGTTCGAGATTTCCTAATTGGGAATGTAACGGGTAAATATTTCCAACATATATAGTGTCTAGTCAAATACGTCTTAAATAGCAACAGGCGTAAGCATTATTTGATATTTTGGGAAAAAAATTGAATCATCGGGATAAATGTTCTAGCTGCGCAAATTATTCATATTAGCGAGTTTTGCTATTCGACGATTCGCGGAAAGCGAATCGAAAAGGTTTCATTTCTAAATGGATTTTCAACGTTTCACAGCGGTTCACGGAGAATTATTTAATAAAACGAAAATGGATTTTGCTCAGTATCGTTAAAAATTTATCCTAATCGTGACAGCTCCAAATATTTAATAACGGCAATGACCGATGTTTTTCGTAGGACTTCAATATTAAGCCACTGCGGCCACTATAAATTCATTGTAATTATCATGAGTTCGAGTATTTCCGAATATCAAATGTAAAATATGATCCGTCATAGTATAGGGGCTGTTTTTATGATGGAACGCTCTGTTCTAGTAATCACATCGAGTTGTCGATAAAAGGAAGGAATTGTGATTTGTGCAGATTAATGAATTTTGTGACACAAAGAGTCTTAAAGAGATAAAATTGCTGTAAACTAATGTGACCAACTCCGCGAACTCTTGGTTTGGCGCTGTGCGCTGGAAAAAATTGGGGTGGCTATTTCACGTACGCATATACTAACATAATTACGCCCGCGTCGGACGTTCGCAATTGGCTCCATGTAACTGTAAGCACGTTAATTTATTTTCTTCCAAATAAGATCGGCGAAACAATTCGACTCGATTGTCATATCGCACGGGGGCAAATTGTCGCGGTTAAAATGTCGTTAAACTCTGCTCGTTTTGCCCTCGTTAGAGGCATTTCGAGTGTCGGCGCTCGTGCTAAAGAAACGTCGATGAGATTAAGGCCTCGCTAATTGTAAATTATTTAACTACGTCCCGATGAGTGTGACAAACTGATTAGGGCGTGGGTTTCCGCCACGTGATTTTTATTTACACCTGTTTCTTCTCTCGCGGGGGTCACTTCCCGAGCACGACGGTGAAACACACAGGGAAAAATGCACAATGTATTTTCGAGTCAATGGAGGTCAAAGGCGGAAGGCGTGGCGAGGTGCAATGAGATGTATACGACAAGTTATCTTAGTATTACATATACACGGCATTGTGTAAATATAGTAAAAATATTGACGTGATAGGGTATATTATTATTGTATTATTACTGCAATCACCATTATTTGAATCGCAACTGCGACGGAGCCGTCGATCGCTTTTGTTCGCAGGCTGTTTGAACTTGCAACGCGCCGCAATTGCGTTTAACTGAGACTGTGCACGCGGGGATTCGTAGTTTCGCTTCGAAGACGGTATTTTTTAAAATAAAATTTCGCCGTTTGACGTTTTACGTTTACGTTCGAACGACAGAGTTTTAAGTTTGCCCGAAAAACCGGTTTCCAAGAGTCGCGATAGGATCCTTGCGTCGCGTGTTTGTCCGCACTAAAACAATCGAGAAAGAATGTCTGTTTGGAAGAATAACTTCTTATCTCCTGTGTGACGGGAGATGGGAATTGCTTTTAAAATGAGCATAAAAATGCTGATCCTTTTCACGATTTGTGCATTGTTAAACGATTACAGGCTCGTACAAGATTAACTCATGGTTTAAAAAATTACAAAACTAAACATTCATTCGGATCGTCTGACAGTAAAATGACGACAAAGTGACTCAATGATTCTGTTGCGGAACAAAGAGCTACATATGTTAATATGCGCAACGAAAAGCTAGTCTTTCTTGTGTCGACTTTATGTTTCGGATGTATACGAAGATCGTATACGTGATCTCGTGTGCAGAGACGGACGTTCATCGTAATAAATATAATAAATATAATAATAATTTCTTTTACGGGAGTGCATTGAACGATTTTCTTTTGCTTCTTTTAATAAGTTGGAGATAGTAAGGCACATCATTCGTCGCGTTTCTCTCGGTAGCAAACGTTTCGATGATGAACGCAAGTTAGCATACATTCGTGTATTACATTCCTGAAGAATTTTATGGGCACGCTATATATTATAAGTATATACACATTGTTCCGTTGTTGTCATCGAAACGTAAGTTTTGTAAATAAAGTATACGTCTAATAACAATAATAACAATAATAATAATAATAACAATAATTATAGTAATAATAATTATTATACAACGATAATAATAATATTAATATTAATAATAACAATAATAATGTAATAAGTATGATGACATCAACATTACGATCGAACGTGAGTATACATGGACATTGTGATATATTTCGGGGTGGCCGTTCATTTTTCTGACGGCGACATTGGTCCGCGCCAAGATATTCCGAAGCGGCACCGGTGCGGTGGTAGATTGCGAGCGGCTGCGAAAAAGTCGATTATTCTAGTTACGAATTTACGGTGTAGACCTAGGTAAACCTAAACGATAAATATGGAATAACAGATAGGCAATTGTCGATGTATCACTACGAACGTATACGATTTTTAATGTACAAAAATATGGGCGCGCGGTGTGATGGCGTCCCTTCTCGATTTCGTCCTGTCGTCGACGTGGGACGGAAGCAAGAACCTTAACGATGTTCGTCGGAGTGTTTGTGGTTCCTTATTTTCGAATGCTTCGTGCAATACCTCGTCTCGTCGAGCATGCATTTCTTTAGCGCGTATAAAAGGAGAGCTATTCTATTTGATGATCTTCAACTTGTTGCATGATTAAATTGACATATTGCTAATAATTGCTGAAGATTTTGTATGAATGAATCGAGACAATTACTTAAAGTTATAACGTTCAACCTGATTTGATCACTCTTACGTAGATATCAGTAGAGGATGAAATGGAAATATCAGATAGAAATTTGGAACGATCTTCTTGATTTCCTCTATAAAAATATGAAATGTACGATGACTGATGTAATTTGTGATGCGTTTGTATAAATTACGTGTAAAATTTAAAATCAAATACATCTAATAATACGAGATGTGGGTACAATTATACTTTATGAATATGTCCAATTTTATGGGTCGAAAGCTGGATATTTTATAAGCCAGTGTTCCCCGCTAGCAATATGCCAATTTACGTTCATGCAGACAACTGGAACGTTCCTCCTCGTTCTTAGCTCGGATCCAGAATGGTATGAAAACTCCGATCGGTGTCCCTGGCGATCGTGATACCTCCCTTTAAGCGAAGAACAATTCCTGTATTTATTTAATTTATCATGCGTGTGTAGATAGACTTCAGCGAGTGGAGATTGACGTCCTTTGATTTGCGGCAGGCGCGGGCGTCACTCTTTACAGGTGATTTGTAACATATATGGCCTCTGCTGATTGTACGTTTAGATATTTCGCGCAGAAGTTAATTCGAATCGTACTGTCCGCAGACGTCACCCGATTCTTCAGATTCGCGTGAATCGGAAGAGAATCGACTGACTTTATTGCATCTCTATCACAAGTCATTATCGTCGATGACCTTAATTAGCGGTAAATAGACAGAATTTTAATTTTCATCGTTGTATAGTTGTGTATAGAGGTCAACTAAGTGTGTAAAAAATAAATCATTATCAAAATATCGGACGGTTTCGTTTCCTATCCATTATTGATTACTTCTATCGAGAAATATGTGAATCTTGGTTTGAATCAAGTATCTCGTGAAACAAAAATATTGTTTTTTTTTGCTATTAATTATATATATTATATATATATATATAGATTCGACAATAAATAATACATACTCAATTCTATTCGAAAATATAGGTTTTATATATTTATAGATACATGGATTACATACGCTCTTACATCGTATAGGGAATGCATTATTCCAAAGGAAAATCTGCATTAATAATTAAGATTGTACTACAATACTGACTTAAATTTATTAGTATTCATTATAAAGCGAAAACAGGAGTGTATATATAGGAGTATTTTATTTATGAGCTTATAAATAATGCTACTACAATGACGTTAAACCAACTAATGAACTATCGAAAAACAAAAATAAGCTTGATTTTATAAAGCAACATATAGTATATGTATAGACAGTTCATAGACAGTTCTTAATTTAATAGTTTAAATGTTAACAATATACTACATACATAGAGATGTATGTTATCAGAAAAGAAGAAGAGAAAGAGATAGATGTAGAAAGTGGTTTTTTGTAATATAAGTTCTTTCTCGAGCTATTCTGTTCCCAGATCAAATATTAATATTCCATAGTGATATGTTACTCCAAAACGTAGCACAATTTAATTATAATTTAAATTCACGTAATATAAGTTAATTTAAATGTTTACTTTTATTAATTATACAATTATTATTAAGTATACTTAATTATTAACTTGAAAGAAGTACTCTCGGATATATATCTCGTTTTAGGGTTTATAAATCTACCGATTATACATAGTTGTCATATATAATTACGTATTTTCTGGCTGCAAAACTTTGCGAATGCTAAAATGTGTTTTGGCATTATATAATTTTACGTATCAATCTATTTTGTCAAAGTTCCATGTCAAAGTTCCATGATTTTTAGATACTGATTATACTCAAGGTAAACTATGCAAGATAAAGTAGGTTACTATTTCTTTAATTGATTATTATATTACGTTGCAAATATTTAAATATACATATAAGTAAATTTATTTAGATACTTCTTTCTTGCATTGTTTCTCTCGGGTACGAAGGATACAGCTATTATGGCAATCTTACAAGATCTATGGTCATTAGAAATGTTGGTACTTTTTATCTGTGATCATTAAAAATGATGGCTGTTTAAAATTTTAATAAAGGTGTGTTAGTATTTATACGGGGATTACTCCAGCAAACACGTTACTGTTTAGTTAATTGTTTTCTAATCGTTCGCGAGCGAAATAGAGAACTATTTCGCTTTTGTACCAAATGATCTTCACGTGATCGTGAAAAATGTTTTGGATTAAACTTTAGGCTTAAGTTATTTTGCGTGCGGCGTATGCATGCCACAAACTGTGCAGCTTGAAGATTCAAGGCACGTTATCAGCCTGGGTTACATAAAGTTCATTACAAAAGTTACGGATTAGGAGAAGCTTATGGATTCGTCGAACTTATTTTTTCTGTTAAGAACAATCGACAAATCCATTGTTTTCAATTTATTTATCTGTCGCAAAATCTGGGTTGCAGCAAATTGATAATTTGATAATTTTGTAAATCGATTTGTCTTTCTTTTTTTTTTAAAGAGAGAGAAAACCCACGTAAAAAACGTGAAGGCATGAAGACATTCAGAAATTAAGGCAGACGATGAAAAGATCTTTTTAAGTTAACTGAATCGCTTTATCACTTCAAAGCGAAATAGCTTTATATTTTTGGAAGGCAAAAGGAAACAAGCATATGGGAACACATGTCTATAAGTGCGGCTAGCAAAAATCTAGTTCTTCTCATTCCTATCAAATCCTAAAAACTGTACGCATTTATTTCGGGTGACGACTAGTTTTTGACTAGATCATGACATCGCTTAACAATGTAAAATTAGCTTGGATCAGTAGTCGAACGGGAATATGGCCACAGCTTACTTACAAAATACACTCAAGCTCCATTAACATTACCATTTTATTTCATTATCTGAAAAACGTCCTGCAGTTCTTCAGATTTTTATAGTTTAATTGATTTTACGTAACGCTTTTTATTAGTTATCAATAATCAAATGACTTCCGGAGATGTGACATGACTCGATTGAACTCTTAATCGAAGTTTTCCCCTTATAGAGATTTAATACTGTAAGTGATTTTTTGGCTAGTGATTAATTATAAGCACTAAAAAATCACTTACAGTATTAAATTTCTATAAGGGTCCTCTCTCAATCAAGCAACGATAACAAATTTGTAGCAAATTATTGATTTCCAGATCGAAAATTATATATGTAACTTAATATGTGTTTGTTTTACACGAATGGTTATAATTGAGAAAAGCTCATATCCATATAATTTCTATCAATGTAGATTAACTTTAATTTTGGTTTAGCTTATTAATTTTTATCTTTTTCTAGTTTTAAGAAATAAAATTTTTAAACTGGATAAAAGATAACAGTAAGATCGAGGTTAAAGTTAATTGATCTGCATTGATGGAAATCGACATTAGCTATTAAAAACACGATTTAGCGATTTAAAGAAAACAATATTTCATTGCAGCTTGATCTACATATTTATAATTTGGCTTCTATGCATGCAATTATGACATTTCTTTCTTGGTTTCTTTTCTTTCGCATGTAGGTAAATGGTAATGTTAATGCAAGCCGCTGTATGTTCGGTAGTCGGCAAGGCGTCGTCATCGCGCGCGCATACCGTCGGTTGAGCTCGGGTCGGCTCGGCAGCGCTCGGCAGCGCGAATATCCAAGAATTCGAACGGACGCCGAGACGCGCGCAATTCACGGCCATCCCATCGCGCGATCGCGTCGTACGTCGTACATCGATGGGCAAGTTCGGCGCGATTTTCTCCCGTTCCGTCTCGATAATACTGTTCACGCGCGACTCCTGCACGACCGCGTTATTCGGCGACGTTTCTTAAATGACCCTCGCGAGGCTGTTCTCGGGATGCTCGTCCTCCGACGTCTCCGGCTCCGTGCTCAGCTTGCTGAAGTCCCGCGGATTCGGCCGCTTCTCCAGGAACTTGAAGCTCCTGCCGCGGCGACGATTCTCCAGCAGGCTCGTCAGCTTGAAGTTCTCCCGTCTCTCGGCCTCCCAACGCATCCTCTTGCGCATCGTGAGTAGACATCCTGCGTGATTAAGAATGCAAAACGCAATCGATTAATTTTGCATGCGGGTGACGCGGGGGAATGTATGTTGTTCGAAATGGCAGCAAAATCTCGAAAATTTCGGTCGGGCGACCGGCGAACGTCATTAAGGCTAAGCTGCAGATGCGCATGCGCGACACTAAAAAAAGGGTTCTTATTTTAATTAAATTGTGCATTTTCTAGCAATGTTCTGCTCTTACCTGAGCGCTAACAGCCACGCTAACGTTAATATTAATCCTCCTTTGAGCGACGAAACGAATATATACCTTGTAAATTACGAAATTGTAATTCGCTCTCTTTTTAGAATATTTATAGATAATGAATAATATTACAGTAATGAGCCAAAATAGTGGTTCAAGCAATGCATTAAGAAAAAGATGAAATAATTAAAATGAAAATAGATATCTAAGAAAACTATAATTAGAAACTTTCAAAATTTTTAGTTAATTTCATGTTTTGTAAAGAAATTAATTACAAGTTATTCATTCGGCTCCAAAGGGTCGATGTCATATTTAACATTTAAACAACTATAGTAACATAAAGTTTAATGAAAGATCTAGAAAGTTTTACAATAGGTGTGTGTAAGAGTGCAGATAAAAGATATATTAATTTAAATTAAGATATAATATGTACTTTTTTCATATATAATTGAATAATTGAAACGAACTTACCGTGAAGTTCGATTGCAATTATGCTGTATTACGTACGATAAGAGTACATCAATAACAATGTAGAAAAAAAAATTGGAAGGAATTAGTACAATGCATTAAAGAATTAAGATAACATATGCTTTTTTATCCATAAAAGCATGTACATAAAAACGTAGAGAAAAAAAGTTGGAAAAAGCAGTACAATATATAAAATATATACATTACAATAAATAAAATAATAAATATAATAATAGGTGAAAGAGATCTGATACAAGAAATCAATACATTTCCTTAATATTTTACAATTTAATAAATTGTAGATATATATATGTAAAATGCAAGTATACATAAAATGCACGATGCTTTCTGATTAAGGCGTAAGTAACATAAAAATTAAAGCTTAAAAAACTTAAATAAATTAATTACAATTAACCTTAGAGACAAGTAAGCATAATTCGAACATATAATAGGAACAATATTGGGCAATTCTACTGCTATAGATTGTTCATAATAGTTGAAGTCTGAGAATGATAATTATTGCACGATAATAGTAGCAATTCAATGAATTAACGATAACGAAATATAATAATTACTTCATGCTGTTACCATGCAATAATTGTGATTTCTAAATTTCAATTATTATGAATTACCTATATATGTATATCATAAATTGGTGCTTAATAAATATGGTGCTTAATAAATATGGAAAATAAATTAACACATATGTGCACAACAAGATTACTACAACGAAAGACAATCACAATTAAAGAAAATATTTATTCCTATTCTACTAATTTAGAGAATTCAACAGCCGGTTCGTCATAATTACGTCTTTCTCTACCTCTTTTTTGGCATCTCGCTACAATGGCAGCAATTGCAATGCATATTGTGATAAACGAAATAGCCGCTGAGCCAAGGCCTAGAATCAGTTTTGTTATATTGGTCTTTTCAGTATCGGCATCTTTAGTATCGGGATGTGTCAAGATCTTAGGTTGATGCTGTTTAGCAGATTGCGAATTGTTTACTTCTAAAAAAAGAAAAAAAAGAAAAAATATATTAAGATATGATATCACGCACTTATAAATCTTAATTGTTACGAAACGTAACGTTAATTCGTTGTACCTTGTAGAAATCTATAAACTTTTTTATTATTTAATTCTGCTACATATATTTCGGAACCATCTTCCGTCACAGTCAAGCTATGTGGATTATCCATATTTTTGTTGGGCTCAAACATCGATAATATCTTCTCGGAATAAATATCAAGCACAAAGCCCCTTACTGGCGCTGGATTACTTATAAATGGATCAGGTCCATTAACTAGATATAATTTTTCTCGGGCGTAGGCAACGCTGTAAATTTTTGTACCAATAGCAGGATGTCTGTATTCCTTATGGAATGTACCGTTGTTGGCAAAGAAACATAATATCCTGCCATTTTCTCTGTCGGCGAGATAAATATAATTTAACTCACTCGCGAGTGCTAAAGCATGTGCAATGAGAAACGCGTATGGTGAGGGCTGCGAATAGACCGGTTCTAAAATAAAGTGAAACTTGGTTTAGCATTTTTGTTTAGACATCGTTTATCGTTATTGATATCAATTTTATTCTTATTATTACCTCTACTGGTGCCCCAATGTCGTCCCCAGTGTAGAATCATTTCACCATTTTTATTATACTTAATTATCCTAGAATTGCAATATCCATCACTGACAAAAAAGTCACCATTACTATGTACAGCAACATCAGTTGGTTTACAAAATCTCCTATTGTCGTTACCAGGCACAAAAGCCTCTCCCAAAGTCATAGATGGCTTCGGTATGCTGTTTTCGTGTAATGCACCAGCACGAACGTTAGGCACACTTGTCTCCGAGCTACCCTGTGCACGTTTCAACTTCTCCACGTGTCTTTCCACATCTTGAGCATCAAACTTGAATACCTGATGCATTGCCACGTCAGTAACCCAATAATTCCCAGCCTGATCGATAGTCAAACCGTGTGGGAGATAAAACATGTCCTTTCCCCATTCCGATATCACCTTGCCACCTTTATCCAAAAGGATTATTGTGTTTTGCGCTATCGGCCCTTTATTTGGATCAAATCTGTTTTCGTTATCGAAACTATCGGGGCCCCAAATACGATCCCCTCTATGAAACACAGCAATATTGCCATTTGGATCCACAGCGACAGCTGATGCTTGAGTAAGTTTCAGTTGCGCACCCCATTGTGCGTCCCATTTTATGTCTGAAAAGAGTATAACAAAAACTTAGGAAAACATTCGTCAGATTTCTGTAAACACAAATGATCAATACTTACTTTTATCCAAAGTATCTGTAGCTACTGGGTTTTCCATGCCAAAGTGACTGTCAGGTTTTAAATATAAATGAGAATCTTGTATCTTGTTTGTATCTTGTTGGTCGTTCGATTGCACTAAGGATCCTCTACCTCTATCATCAACATCGGAATATTCTTTATCGTCGTCAGAATATTCGTTCGAACTAAACTTGGTATCAGATAAATGCTGTAATACAAAAGAAATTTAACTCTCTCTTACGTTTACATATAATTTATTAAATAGTTTATGTAATATGCAATATAACAATATATACACAATATTTTGATACTTATGAAACAATATATGTATAATTAATTATTTAATATTATCAATTTCTTCTTTTTATCCTACGAAATATCTGCATGTAATTACCTGAACATTCAAAATATCACTCAATGCTGTCTTAGTATGTACTAAAATGTGAAGCAAAATTAACACGGAGCAGATAGTGTCATATCGGAGAGTCGTCATTTCGCAAAATCGTCATTAGGTGCTTCCGTATTTTCACTCTAGCCCATCAGTATCCGAAACACTGGCGACGTCTACGGTACTGGATAATATCAAAGATATATTTATAACCTTACGAGATCGCGGAAATATTTTGAGCGAATCGAGAGAATTTTACAAAAAAAAATCGCGTCCACGTCACACTTCGGAGCCACGTACGACACAAACTAGTAGTTTTCTTTTTGTCACTCGAAGTAATATAACGTTATCTAGAACATTTGTTTATCGCATGTATTATTGCGGGACAATTGTGAGCACGTATGTCGGCGTGTCAGGAGAACGCACATTTCCAACAAGTGGCGTTAGACATGACGCCATAATATTTTGGAGTATTATCTTACCGATGTTTTCATTGTGTATTCTTAACTTCGATCGATAGCAGGCTAAAATGGTTTCACAACGCTCACGTGTAAGGGCGCTACGTGTATCGTTTTGTTGATTTTCGACGACGGAGAATATATTTCTTATTGATTACTCTCTTTCTGTCTCTGATTAGTTTTTTAAAAGAAATTTAATAAGCCATCTTCTCATAATTATTAAATTTTTAGCAGTAAATATCTTTCAGTTAAATCTTTAATTAAATATTTGTAAAAAAAATAAACTCCGGCCGGTTTGAAAAGTAATATGAAAAAGCAATATTATTTATTCACATTTCTATTATTTACATTCCATTATTTACGTTTATAGTTATTATTCTTTTGAATAAAAGAGGGAAAATAATGAAATTTTTGTTATTATTTTATTTTATCGATAATGTTTTTGATATTATGCGATTATATCATGAATTTTCTGGGTAGATGATTAAAATATTATTTTCATATTTTATAAATGTAGTTTTTATAAATAATTTGAAGAGATAAAAATCAATAAATTAAGTTAAATTTATATTAAAATATCCTCTATAAATTTCTTTTTGAAATAATTATAACAGCAATATTGTTATTTATTTACATTTCTGTTATTTATATTTTATTATAATTATAATAATAATATCTTTTTTAATAAAATTGGAAGATATATGATATTTTTATTATGCGGTTTTATTTTGACATACTCTTGAAACGATTTAAAGGGATAGAGATCCATGAATATTGTGCTTGTATCGCATATAAAAGCTATAAAAATAAATTTCGTATTCAAGAAATTCATCTATTGAGATTGCAAAACTATTATTTGCGCAGTTCTTTATACAACTACACACACTGCACAGAGATATTTTAATTTATCAAAAACTTGGAAAACACGGAAAGATAACTTTTATCGGCAGTCAAGATTGTGCCGATAAAAGTTATTACAGTTTCTATTGATCAAAGATGGCTTTTAAATTATTTAGAAAATACATTCTATGTTAACGAGAGTTTAAATCAAGTCGTAAATCAACTATTCCGGATAATATCTAACTCTAAAAGAGAACACATTGTTAAGCATTTTCTCATGGCTTTATACAATTCGGAATCTAAACCTTAGGTTTCCTTTTAATTTCCCTATAGATTTATTTCTCTGATCTTGCACGCTAATCCCTTACGTGAATGAAAAGCTCTTCACCGGTGGAATATTTTGAAATCCAATAGAGTCTGTATTCGCCAGACGATGTCGACGGAATTCGTCACGAAGATTTCTCGGCATGGTCTCGTCTGGAAGGGTTTTGAGTTTATACTGGAATCAATGCAGTCTCGTTCGAGCATGGTTTGCATTCCTCGTCCAATCTTCCTTCCTTGCATTCCTTGTCGCTCGATTTGAATTATATTATCTTAGGGCTATCCGGTTTTATTTTTATAATGCATGAGATTAAAACTCGCTATTAAACTTTTTCGTCCTTAATGTGCTGAGAGTTGAAGAAGAAACTTTCTCGAATATATGATCGGAGCGGAACTTTCAAAATTGCTGAGGCATTCGCAAACGAGAAAAAGCATTTTACAGTAATGAAACGTATCTAACTAATTAGAAAACGTGTTTTGCATTATTTTGTGTGATAATGAAGCAATTAAACTTCATAGTCAATTTTTATCGATTAATTTAAATAAAAATGCAATCAATTTTAACAAAGCGATACCATTGTATCGTTTTAATTATTCAATTTTATGTAAAATTACAGTATTTCGGACAAATGACGTAACGTCCTATAAACAATTTGGTTATCGCTAGGTGGTGTGCGTTGCCCCATTATATTCATTTTACTATCCCTGTCATTTCGCGAAGTATATATACGCATGAGATGCGTTCGAGTACTATCGAGGTCCAACAATGGTGGTGGACCCATCCTTTCGTTAGACAGAAAGCATCGATTTTACATTCATCGCGTTGTCTGCATCGACGCCGAGTTTTCATCTTAAACTGCAGACGACAGTGAGTTCTTTATTACGGTGAAAGAGAGCGCGAATGTCAACCTGCGAATAAACATGTAAAGAGGATCTTTGGTGTTCCGCTGAAAAACCATGCTCGACAAGCGACGTTACGAGCCCTTCTTGTCGTAGGGCGAAAGGATTTGACAGTCGTTTTGTTCTTCTCTTTTTTTTTGCTATCTGCTTTCCCTGCCTCCCCCCTCTCTCTCTCTTTCTCTCGATCTCGCCTTCTCCCTATCCACAATTCATTTATCTTTTTTTGGGGTATACACTGCAATGGGAGGGAAACTAAGCTTGTAAATCCATTTAGTGCGGTCCTCGGAAAAGAAAAAAAATTCGACTGTCTCTATTTCTATGCTAAGCAGTTAGACGTACTGTGCAAACGTAGTCGCAGTAAATTTTATATCGTGATTATATCCTCAGTTTAGTTTTTGTTTTTTTTTAATCACTTTTTCTTACATCGTCTTATGTTCTTTTTTAGTTTAACTGTATAAAAGACAATTTTAATTAATATATCAGAGATACCTAAAAAGAGATCTTTCTATTAAGATTCCTAATTTAAAAATATCTTTATCGATTTTTACAACTAATAAGTTAATTGAATCTGCGAACTCTATCAGTGGAAGGTAGATCCAATAATGTAAAGACCGAGTGATCACAAAAGTAATAAAATAAAAATTAAGAAGATTTTTGTCTCCTCTCTCTCTCTCTCTCTCTCTCTATTAAATTATTATTATTATTTCTTCAGAAACACATTAATGAGTAATTTTTATTCAATTATTAATGTATAATTAATCATTGATATTGAATATTCTTTTATTAATAAAAGAGGTTACTATATATAAAGTAGAATAAATACTTTAATAATAATATAAGGTATTAATAAAAAGTTTATAAACTTTTTTTTAAATCCATATATAAACTAACTAAAAAATAAATTTTGTGTAAATAAACATATTATATAAAAAATTATATTAATATAATTAAGTACTTAAAAATTATCTTTCTGTAATATTTGTGCGATTAGTTGGCACCTTTCGACGTGTTGTCAAATACTGCGTTATCGTTTTCAACTATTTCGGTGATCTGCGAATGCCCGGATATTGTCGGTTGGCAAGAAAAATCGCCGAAATGCAAACGTGCACGCGAATGCAATCTGCGGAGATTCTTTAATCTCGTCCACCGCATATCTGTGATGGCCGTTCGCGCAGATACCGCGTATCGAGTTCGGTTTCACGCGCTTTAGCGTTTAAATTGCGAAGTCGGCCCCTGCTTTTGATAGTTGTGGGGGGATAAACGGGACGTATATATGCAACGGCATGAGAAAGGGCGAGCGGAAAATAACGGGATGCGATTCCGCGCGTCACGGAGATGACTGGCGTTCATCACAGTGTACACGCAGACCCAAAGACATGCAGTTTTACCCTTCATTTCCCAAATTTCAACCTAATCGATAGAGTTCTACCTTTTCTCCAAAAAGCATCGGAAATAAATTAATTTGTTTCTTAAAAAAGTTTTGGCAGATAAATGTAAAAAATAAATTTTTTTAAATATGAAATGTTAACTTCACATTTTTGTTACATGTGGAAATTGATATAATTTGATTAGATTTCAATCACGATTGAATTATAATATTTTTCGATGGAACATTTAGAGTGCTCTTTGGAAGATACCATTGCAGATTCTCGAAAAAGATCAATCAAAAGCAGCTTATAAATGTATATTAAATGCATTCGAGAGAACTGAAAAATCGCCAGAACTCTTTCGCGGTATTTTTGAAACGCATTTGCATGTTACTACACGCGATCTATCATTGCACCCGGAAAGGTGAGAAGATGTTAAAAAAAGATTGATCGGAAGAGACGATATTTATATATACATATATATCGAAGCCCGCTGAAATCTCGGTCGACAAATTTTACTGTCGGTTTCCTGTCAAGAAAATAAGCTCGCCAGACGAGTTCCAGTCTGTATACTGTTAAAAGCACCACCGATCGATAACGCATGCAGCGCTCGTAATAATAAATTACCTAGACGCGAAGAGCGAAGTAGCGATCTGACTGGATAATGTCAGCGGATTTGAACACGTTAAGATTATCAATGATTTCTCTTCGGTCCTTGCTGCAAGTATATTAATCTCGGTATTAATATCGCGCATGAAACAAAGACACATTTCACGTATGATACTAGTCACTTGTTTTCTAAACGAAAGTTTAGATATTTTACGTATGTATGTATGTACAAAGCCTTTCAATCTTTAGTTATATTGCTATTTTAAATTATTTTACTGCCATTTATGTTTGCTGGATGGTAAATCAATTTTTTAATGGATTATACATTATTATAATGCGTAAATCGATGTTTTTTGCATGTATTTCGAGCTTTTCATTTTTCATGAAAAGGAAAGGCTACGACATGTATTACTTGTCATGCCAGGGTAATTCTTGTAAATATATACAAAAGGAGGGGACAAATCTGAGAATTATCGCGGATAATCCACTAAATGTACTCTCGCACGTAAGCGTTAACGCAGGTAATAAAATGTAAGCAAGGACAAAGAGTAGTGCGAACCCAAGCCCGTAACCGTGAAGGTCAGAATTTCTCCCCCGTAGGGAGATTAACAGGGTGTGCTCTTGTACTGGCGGTTATTATGCTGTGCCGTGCCGCGAAAATTAATTACAAACTCCGTGCCTTGTTCCGCAAGGGCATGGGAAAGCGGTGAGGTGGAAGGTAGAGAAAAAAAAATATTATTGCGCACGAGAAACTCTTTGCATCTGCATATGCGCGCGCATCAGAAACACCGTTGCATTGTCAGCATTGAGGTGTATTTACGGGACGGAGAGGGTTAAGGGCTTTATACCACAACTTTTACAGCCCCATTCTTGGCTATAGCTTATCATTCTCTCGCGCGCTGCGCTGAGATTTCGATGAATAATTTTGCTGACATCCCGGTGGGTTTCACGTG